CACACATCCAGATTGTCTTTTACCTCCATCTCTGTCCAGGTCGTGCTGAGGCTCTCCCATCTTCCTAGTCCTGGGGGACACTTGAACCCCCCGGGCCGGGTATTTGAGCAGGGCGGCCGGTTCTTCCACCCCGACTTCCATCACGCCAGGCTCCTTCTCGAAGCTCACCCGCTGGAGCTCCATGTACTGAGGATAGGGGGACGCCTTGTCCATCAGGGTCCCCAGCAGGCCGAGGCGGGAGTGATGAGGAGTGGATGGAGACAGGGGGAAGGCTCCGCCCAAGGCGTAGTCCAGGTGGGGCTCAGAAGGGTGGGGCCGGCCCTTGGCCGCGCTTTGGCAGTCCTCTGCCTCCACTCCCAAAGGGCAGCTTTTCTTAAAGACGGGCAGGTGGCTGTCATCGGGCTGGGAGCCGGGGGTGGGGGACATGGAAGACCGGGACCGCTTGGCCCCTCCCCGCCGGCGTCCCTTGGTGGCCATCTTGCCCAACAGCTTCCAGTGGAAAGCCAGGGAGCTCTTGGAGTACAGGAACATGCGGAAGGCGCGCAGCGCTTGTTGTCGCTTACGGCGGAAACAATGTCTGGAGGTCCCCAGGAGCTGCGGGCGCCGTCGGGCCTGGGCGATGTGGAAAGGCCAGGCCCCCTGCCCGCCACTCCTGCCCAACTTCCCCTGGGGGGCTTTGTGCCGGGAGAATGCCGAAGGGGCCCTCGCCACCCCCCAGCTGGAGACGCGGGAGAGATCCCATCGGCCCTCGCGTTGTTCCTCATCACTGCTGGAGGACAAGGGGTTGAAACTGGGGAGGGGCTTCTGGACGCAGGCCAGGTGCCGGCTCCCTTCGAAGCAGCTGCCTTGTTGGTGCTCTGGGTCCCGCCATTCCCGGGAAGGCCGGCAAAATTGGTCTGGGTGTCCTATGGGGTCGGGGAGGCCGGGGGAGGGCCCCCAATACTTCTTGTCTTGGATGCTTTCCTTCATCGCTCCAATGGGCTGAAGTGAGGGAGAGAGAGAGAGAGAGAGAGAGAGAGACGCAGCTCTGATCAGGAAGTGACAGGTGGGCTTCAAACCAGAAGCATCCCAAAACCGATTTCACTCCCTGGGGCAGGGGTCACCAACCTTTTGGACCTCAGGGACCACCAAACTCCTAATTTTAAATCCTGCGGACTGGAGACCCTAGGAAAACCCCCCAAAAAACGCCTGCAGGAAAATCCCCTACCCCATTTTCCTACCCATCGATCGTTCTTTCTCTCCAGCTCCGTTCTCAGCGGGAGAGAAAGAGGAGAGAGACTTTTGGTTGCGTGCAAGGAAAACAGCAGAAGCCGCAGAAAGAAGTTTTTTTCTCTCCCCCAAATCCGCCAGAAATGAGTCTTTCTGAGACTTGTTGCACCGGCGCAGCCTCTTGGAGCAGGAGGCCTTGCAGGGTCCCAAAGACTCATTTCTGGCGGTGTTTGGGGGAGGGAAAGGAGGACTTTGGCTGCTTTCCTTGCGTGCAGCCAAAAGCAGGAGAAAGTAGAAAGAAGCAACCCGGTGGCCAGGCAAGGCACGTGGGATGCGTGGGGCAAGTTCCTCCCCCTCTGCCCTTTCCCCCTCCCCTCACTACGTGTTAATCGCAATGCAAGCGACGCAGCCTTGTATTCCCACGTAGCCTGGATTAATTGCTTTGGGGGTGACATTTCTATGCGGACCACCAAAATTTTCTCGCAGGCCCTGGGGGACCCAAAAACGGTGCCTTGATGATCAGAGGAACCCACAACACAGTTTGGGGACTTCAGCTCATTCCCTGTTGAGTGCAGCCATATTTATTAGCTATTTACTCCATCTTGACTACCTTGTAAGTAACTTGAGGTGGCAAGCATGCATAACACTCCCTTCTCT